CTGCAACATCAGCTGCCAATGTTCCAATACATACATAATAAAGGGTATATATAATAATGGAAATCATGGGATCAGGTTGCGAACCAATCGAAAAAATTATTCACGAAAATAAATTTAATAAAGCATTATATACAATATTTGAATATTGTATGAAAACTGACATGTCATCAAACATATTTTTGGAAATAAATCGTCCAAATCGTTGTTGTACAAACATATCTCTGAAAACGGCGTTCGAAAACGAACGGAGTTCAAAAGCCAATTTACAACGTTTTTTTTTTCAAAAAAAAGTTTATCGTTGGATTATTTGTTGGGCATCCGCCTAAAAGTAGGCAATATATTCTTCATAACTGCATAGAGCAGACTTTTTGTCCCCCTAAAAGTAGGCAATATTTCTCATATATGTATAAAGCATTTAGGCGCATTCCCTCAAGCAATGTCTAAGTCAATAAGGAAGAAGAAGAAGGCGCATTATTATCATAAGATCAACAGAAGATCGAAGAAAGTGCTTAGAATTAGTTACACATAATAAAGGAGATAGTAAAACTAACGAGTCTGAAAAAGTAAGACGAAGAATAGAAAGTTGATTCGGTCATCATAGAAAAACAAAGAAAGCTTCAAAAAGCATTTTAAAGCCAATGTATTTTGTGGGAATACGTTATACGCACTACCCAGAATTCTAAATATCGAATTCAAAGTTTGTTAAAAAACTTTTCGAAATTCTGTTCATATATTTTCTAAATATTAAATGATGATCATGGAAATCGGATTCGGATACCGAAACGAAATTTGATTTATTAGTATTTATTCTTGATTCTTGCCAAAATATGTAATAAATATCAAAAATAACATGATCCGCCTAAAAGTATGCTATGAAAAAAATTCAGTTTTACGGAAGGAATTTTGGATCAAAACGGACTCAATGAGTAGTATTTATAGTTGATTCTTGCTTAAATGTGTATGTAATTAATAGTAAATTTTACGCAAGGTGAACCGCCAAAAAGCATGCTCTGAAAAATACAGCTTTGCATTTGCGTGAAAGACCGGATCCCAGTTCACCGTCGAAAATGTGCAACCAGCATGTACTTGAGCACTTTAAAGGTATCTGCACAAATTTTTAGGTATTTCGTCAACTTTCGGGAAGAGCAAAATCTTGGGAAATCCATTATTTGAAGCCTTCTGTAAACCACTTATCTTCGTATAAAAATGCTTTAGTAACAGTTATTACAAAAATCTACTTTCAAAAAATTTTTTTCCGAGAAAACCCAGCAACTTTATTCAGTACGTAAATCTCAAGCTCATATAAAAAGTCTAAGAATACTAAAAATCCACTCAAAATAGTCTGTCACAGGGTGCTTGCTTGCTGAAGCCTTTAAAATTCCCTGGACTCCACTCTACTTCTTAAAAGTGCAGCCAATTTTACATTATCGGCTCCAAACCACGTTGTGTTCATATTACAACAATAATAACACCGCCGTACAACTCACACAAGTTTTGAAAAATAAAACCAATTTGTTTTTTTTTTTTTTGTTTGTTTTTTGTTCAAACTAAATATACCATTTCACTAATATTTTATTTTCAATTACATAAAGTTTTTTATTATTAGCATATACATATGTATGTAGTATATATGTATGTGTAAGTGTGTTTGTAACTATACATATTTAATAATTAGAATTTAACATAAATTGCAAATTAAATTAACTAAATTGCAATGTAAAGCGAATAATTTTCAATTCAAAGGCGACAAAGGTAACACATAAACATACAGCTGAAAGAGAGTGAAGAGAGAGTAAGAGTAAGCGCAGAGAAAAACGACGAATAATAAAGAAAAGTGCATAAAGTATTGCAAATTACGCATAACGGTAAACATTTACTGCACTAACAACTGTATGTATGTATATATTGTAGGCGTACATAATTGGGCATTGAAGAGCCAAGCAAAACATGAAACAATTGAGGTTAGAAATTATATTCAGTTAATTAAGGTTTAACAATTGGGGTAACTGTAGTGCCTAGGGAATAATTAAAACTATACATAAAAGTATATTATATATATGTATATAATTATATAAATGTGTGTGTGTGTAATTTTAAATATAACTGGTCTTCCAAAAAAACAAAACCAACTTTACTACATACATACGTAACTCTTTTAAAGCGCAACATATATATACATATTTATAATGCATTCATATTGTTTATGCAAAATAGCATTTAAGCAAATATTCATTTAATTATAAGTAGAATAAGTAGTTACTAGCAACATATACGTTTCTCCCGGCGCTCCCGCCGCGCTTCTAACATAAAATTCATTATGAATTAGTAGGTGTGTACACGCTAAACTTTACACTAACAAAATTACAATAACTCATATACCCAAGAAAAAAATATTTATATACATATATATAATGTATTATTGTTGTTTTTGCAAAGTGTTTGACAGGCAAAAAACAAGACAAAAATAACTAAACAACTAATGCAAAGTTACATAACATTTCATCATTTACGCTTAAACATAAATTAATCTTCATAAATGAACAATTGTACACACACAGACACATTAACGATTGCACAATTGTTAATTAGTTGCATACATACATACATAATGGTATGCACATATAAACTGGTTTTAGTAAACATAGTTGCATGTATGTATGTTAAGTTGAGGCTAGTACTTATTTATTATTTAGTAAATTGTGTTCAAAACGCAGCAAGTTTTTCAATTTCGAATGCAATAAATAGGAAAATAAATTTAGTACGCTGTTTTTTTTAATTTTGTGAAAAAAATGTATTAAATTATTGCAAAGAATACTTTTGTTGGCACAAAATTATTATTTTTTAATATGTAAACATTTTTGAATTTTTTTTCGGAGAGCGCAGCAAATTTTTGGCGCCATAATTTTTTTATAACAACTTTTTGTTGCTGTGATTTTTATTATCGCAACTTTTTATTGCTATAATTTTTATAGCAACTTTTCATTGCTATAATATTTTTATAGCAACTGTTTCTTGCAAATTTTTGATTGAAAAAGATCTTACAAGCTGAAACATACTTTTGTAGCATTTTTGAATTTTTTCGAAGCGTTCTGCAATTTTTAGTGCTATAATTCTTTTATAGCAACATTTTCTTGCAAATTTTTTTGGCTAAAACAAATTTTTCTCGCTTGCAGAATCATACTTCTGTAGCACTTTCGAAGCCCTCAGCAGTTTTTAGCGCTATAATAAATATAGCAACTTTTATTGCTACCACTTTTTATAGCGACATTTTCTTGCAAATTTTTGGTTAAAACAATTTTTTTTCGCTTGCTGAATCATACTTTTGCTGCATTTTTTTCGAATTTTTTCGAAAAATTTCCTTTTCGAATTAACAGCATTTGCTATGCCCGCAAAAGATTTGTGCTATAATTTAAATTATAAATATTCTTATATTTTTCTAGTTTACACTGGTGCAATTTTATTTTACTTCATACAAATTTTTTAAATTTAATTTTTGAAAAAATTAAAAAAAATGTTTTCAATATTTTTTAAATTGTTACTTAGTAGCGTTTTCTACGTTTTTTGCTGTAAATTTCGGTGCCCAATTTTTCGCGAACGCGCAATATACTATATTTCGCTAAGAAATAAATAATAAATTGCAAATGCAAACAAAAATGTTTCGAAAATACAAACCTGTATATTTAAAAAAAATAATAATAATAGTATTTACTTCAGAAAAAAAATTTTTTTTTGACATTACAAAATTGCAGATTCAAAACTAAAATGTATTTTCGAAAACACAAAATTGCAGATTCAAAACAAAAATGTATTTTCGAAAGCAAAAAAATTGCGAATTTCGTATTAAAATATATTTTCGAAACTACAAAATTATATATTTTTGATGAAAATATGTTTTTGAAAGCGCAAAATAATATTTTCTTCACGCGCCAGAAAATTTCGCAGTAAAACAATATTTTTTAAGAACCAGCGAACAGTTTTCATGACCACTGTACTATTTCGACGCAACAAAATATTTGATTAAAATGTTAAATTCTCAAAAAAAGTTATTCAAAAAATTAGTTTTTGCAAGTTTAAAAAACTGTTTTTGTAAGTTTAAAAGCTGCCAGCGTACACAACAGGTGAATAGTAACGGTACAGCGTAAGAAATGCTAAAATTTTTTCGTTTTTCAACAAGTGGCCGTACTGTAAAGCTTGAAAATTGCTGTTTTTCGCTACAAGCTGCTTCGATAATAAATCCAGTATGCATTTGCTGCATTATTTTTGACAATTTTTTTTCTTTAATTTTAATTTACATAAATTACAAGTTGCACATTAAACTAATTAAATTGTACAGCAAATTTTATTTGAAATATTTTCGCACGACAATTCCAGTTTTTAGCCTTCAATAGTACATAATTGTTGTTGTAAACACGAAATTTGCGTTTTTAGGTCACAAACAATGTCACTTAATTTAATATTATTTTTCAGCGTTTAGTTCAAAATGTTGTTTTTGTTTTGTTTGCATATTTTTAGTGTAATTTTAATTAATTAACTTTTTTATATAAAGTGCGAATATTTTTCACTATAATTTTGCAATTAACTAAATAATTTTCTCTATTTCAGCGAATTTAGTGGGTTTAATATTTTTTTAAATTTTGTCTACATACATTTTCAAATTTTTCTAACTTACAAAGTAAAAAATACAAAACTAACATTTTGTATAAATTAACAAAAAATTTATATTTTCAATTTTTTCATTAAATTTTTTAATTAGTTATTTTTTAATTGCAAATTAGCATTATTTTTGCTTATTTATTGTTGTTGTTAAATATTTGTAAGTTGTAAATTCAGTTGACTCAGTTGGATATTCGCGCTGCCGTCAGTAAACACTTCTTTCATTAAATATTTTTATGCAATAAATTTTGTATTGAATTGTTTGGTTTTGCTTTTTTTGTTTTTCTTGTTGCCTTCTCGCTTCTTTCGCACAAAAGCGCTGCGGCTAATGATGATTCTCCTAATGAATAAACTAATAAATGCTACAAGTTAGGACAAATAGTGAATTAAGGTGAGTTTCCTCATGTACACAGTTATAGCTGTTGTTGTTGTTGTTATTATTATAGTTTAGCAGCAATTGCAGGCAATTAAAATGGATTTAAGCAGCCGTGTCCACCTCTTCCACAATGTGATTCGGCGATACCTCGCTGGGCGCTGTTGTGTTGTTGTTGCTGTTACTCGCTGCCGCCAGCTGCGGTGAGCTTGTCAAAGCGGCGGACGACGCATTTGCATTCATAGCTGATGACGTGTTCGTGGCATTGGCGCAGACAGCAGCCACGGCGGTGGCGGTGGATGTCAAAGCTGCTGCTGTTTTGGCGGGTGTGCCAACGGCGCGTGCGCCATAGGGAGCACCCTTCAATTTGCGCGCCTCACGGCGCTGTTTACTCTGCAGCATCACCTGGCGCAGCTGATCGATCTTCGACTTCATTTTGGTGTTCTCCATGTCGGTTGTGCATTTCTGGCACATTTGCTCCACCTCGCGTTCTCCGGTCTCCGTGTTGCTGCGGTAGCGGCAATTGCAGACGGTGCGCTCATTGGCGGCATTGTTGCTGCTGCCGTTAGTGGTGTTGGCGGCGGCGCTGTCTTTGCAGCAGCCACGGCTGGTTGTTGCTGTTGCCTTGGTGCCGGCGTAGTGGCCGTTGCATTCGCCGTAAGTGCAGGCGCTGGCGCTGCCGTGCTGCTGTTGCGACTTGAGGCATTTCACGCAGGACTGCGCGTGCTGGTGGTGGTGGTAGTGGTGCTTCAGCGAGAGCTGCAAGCATATATGTAAAGATATTTGTATTGCAATTTATTTACATGTATATGTGTGTGTTTATGTGTACGGTTTACTCACCTGCTTGCTGCGTATGCCATGCACGACGGTGCCGTTGCTGCCTGAAGCGCCGCTTGACGCGGACGAACCGCTTGGTGTCTCGAAGCTGATGCGCGCGCCGCGGCTGTATTGCGGTGTGGCACTCAACAAGTCGTTGAGAATGTGTATAACGGTAGAGATATCACGCTTTGGGCGCCCATAGCGATCCTGTAGCGCTGGATTGAGTGTACCCGAGAAGGTGCCGGAGTAGATACCTTTGCCGTGGTTCTTCATCGATTCAATAACTGCGCCCGAATTGCTTTTGCGCGGTGCCTCCTCGCTGCTGGATAAATCAATCTTGTTGGTGAAGACTTCTTTCGAGAGTTTGCGCAGCGTTTGTGTGAGATTGCGCGAGGCCTCGGCGAGCGTGCGCGAATCCGAGACTGTAACGCCTGCATCGTCTAATTCGACGGCGACGCCGCTAGTTGCAGCTGTTGTTGTTGGTGTAGCTGTGAGCGGCGTCGCTGTGGCGCCAGTGACTGTAACAGGCGCTGCTCCCGGTGTCTTCGTGTCCGCATCAGCGCCGAGTCCACTCTCCTCCAAGCTGCGCGTGGTCAAAGGAATGGGACGCGGCAGTGGGCTAGTGCTGGCCTTTGGGCGCACTAATGGCGTTAGCGTCTTGGCTTGTAGCTGCTGCTGCTGTTGATGATGGTAGTGGTGGTGATGATGATGATGGTGGTGGTGGTGATGACTGCGATGCTTCGAGCGCGTTATGGGATTATTAGCCGTTTTGTGTAAGGTGGCGGCAACGGGCGTGCTGCAACCGCTGCCTCCCGCAACAAGCTTCTGCAACGCTGATGTTGTTGTTGGTGTTTGTGATTCAACTACCGCGCCGCTGCTGCACTCTGTAATCATTGCCTCCGGGCATGTGGCCGATGCACTGCCACTATTCGCACCACTGGTTGTGGTGGTGCCCATGCAGCTGTCGCCCTTATCGGCTGTGCGGCCATTGAGGCGTGTACACAGACACGAGGTTAGCTTAGCGGCAATGGGATCCTGGCATGCTGTATCCATAACGCTGTTGTTGAGCGCGGCGCTGCTGCCGCTTGTGCTCTCACAAGCGCTACCGTTGCCACTGCAACCACTCTTCGTGATGGGAATGCTCTTTATGGCGGCCGTTTTGATTGGACTTGACACCAGATTCGATAGCGATTTGATGGGTGACTGTTCGAGCAGTGTTGATGCGCCCGCGACGCTGCTGTCCGCCGTGTTGCCAGCATGCGCGCTGTGGAAGCCTGCATTTTTGGCGGCGGCCGCGACTGGTTGTGCCAGTGAAGAGGGCACATTGCTGGGCGCGCACTGACGCACATGTTGCGCCAACATTTGACTTAGCGGCGGCGATGTCAGACGCGCCGGCTGTGACATGGCAATGCTCTTCACAATGCTCTGTAGATTCTCATAGTCGCGCTTGCTGAGAAACGAACTGAGATCGGAGCTCTTCAGTGTGCCATTGCTGCTAACCGGCAAGCGTGCGGCAGCTGTTGTAGTGCCATTGCTGCGCTGCTGCTGGCTGACAACGATATTTGATGTGGTTGCTGCCGCGCTGGCGGCTGTGTTTGTAGTAGCGGACGTGTTGTTGGAAGCGTTGGCGCCAGCAGCTGTTGCTAGCTGCTGATGGTGATGGTGGTGATGATGATGATGGTGGTGGTTGTGACTGTGGCCAGCCGCCAAAGCGGAGCGATTGTTGCGCTGACTGGAGCGTGCGCGCAACGCGGCGGAGCTGCTGCTGCCGCTAGTGCAGCTGCTGCCAGCTGTAGCTGAGCTGCTGCCGTTTGCCGGATTCACGGTGCTCAATTGTAGTTGTATGAGCATCATGTGATCGCCAAGGCGCATGCTCAGATTCAATGGTGTCTTGCCGCTGAGAAAATCGTTCACCTGCGAGTCGTTGAGTGACTCCAAAGCCTGCATGACGGTGTTCTCGGGACGTTGGGCCTGTAAGGAAAGCGAAGAAAGCGCAATTAATATTGGTTTTGTGAAAATTTAAGTGAATATTTACATATACATATATATATATGTATGCTTTCAAGTATTTAACTCATATTTTAATACTTTTGAGTTATGTCATTCTTGTGGTAAACAAATTTACTTGTAACTATGAGCAAACAAGTGTGCGCGCACGTCGGCACTAAAAATCCTGCTAGTAATGCGCGCTCATACAACAATTGGTGGTCACACGCAGCGCCTTGCCAGCAGCCTCACTTGTGGGTGTGACGCTGTGTTAATGACGCGTGCCGGGACTCACTGCGGCCACATGCACTTCTTTGCAGTCAACTTGTGCAAGGAAAAAACGAAATATGCACATATAAAGGCATAAAAACAAATGCGCGCGACCACTACGCGTTATATAACAGCGGAGACAACAACAACAACAAGTAAGAGGAATGAAAAAACAACAATGTGCAAAACACGCCTGTCTGTAGTTGGCACTTTTAATTAAAGTAACAGCGCGGCGCATCATGAGTGCACAACGGCGCGCGGTGTGGCAGCGCGCGGAGAGACGCGACGCGATGCGGCAACGCAACAGCAACTGTCGCGTAGGTGGGTCAATGTCAGTGTCATAAGTAAATAAAACGCATGCATGCACATGGTTGTGGGCATATTGGCGCGCGCACATACACACACACACACACATGCAAGCGCATTTGCACATATGCATATGTATGTGTGTGTGTATGTGCAAGCGCTCTCATTAATAAAGTGCAAAAAAGGAAAGCCAGCGCCGCGTCACCAAATGATTTCATTCTTGATTGCCTGTCAGCGGCTAGCGTGCACGCCGCTGCGCCTGCCTCCTCCACCACCAACACCTTGCGTTCTCCAATGTGCGAGTGCGAACTCGCGCCCGCGCGCCAACAACGGCACATATTTGATTGTTTTACAAGTGACATAATGGCGTTGCAGTATGTACGTATGTCTGTCGGTATGTATGTATGTGTGCAATGTAAATTGTAGCAAATAAAACGCATTGCAATGATTAAATGAATTGCTCTGGGCAGCATGTGGGCGTGGGCGTGGACGCGTATAGTAAATGGGGCGCTATATGAATAGCGCGTAAAAATTATTTCAATGACAACAAATACTATAAACACACCCACACATGCGGCGCTTATGTTTGTATGTAGGCATCCAGATAAATATAATATTGCCGTCAATCAAGTATTAAATAAATGTGTTTTTGTTGTAAGTATGTGTAAAACAATTAAGCGCAAGTAAATGAGCGTTAATATGTGTCTTAAATAGAGTTATTATTATTTTCTTATTTGTTGGCATAAACTCACGCCCAAAACTAAGGCTGAGCACATATCTTATAACAAGAAACAAACGTATGACCATATTTGTTGTTATTGTTTTAGAAAGCGAAACCAAACGCTTCACAAATAAAAAAATTTTCTATACAAAGACTTGACTTTCATTGGTCAGTTTGTATAGCCGCTATATGCTATAGTGTTCCGATCTGAACAATTTCTCTAGAGATTACGGCGCTACCTCAGACAATAATCCATGCCAAATTTCCTTACGATATCTTGTCAAATAACGTAGTTTTCTATACAAGGACTCGAATTTGATAGCTCGGTTTCTATGACAGCTATATGCTATAGTGGTCCGATCTGAACAATTTGGTTTTAGATTGTACCAATGCTTGCGATAATAATATGTGCCAAATTTCATGGCGATATCTTATCAAATAAAGAAGTTTTCCATACAAAAACTTGAACCGAAACGGCCAGTTTGTATGACAGCTATATGCTATACTGGTGCGATCTGAACCATTTCACCGCGGATTGTATCAATTCATTGGATAATAATCCACGATAAATTTCATTGCAATATCTCATCAAATAAAGAAGTTTTCCATACAGGGACTTGTTTTCGATCGCTCAGTTTCTATGGGTATATGGGTAGTTCTAATAAACGAGCTGCTTCTTGGGGAGAAAAAGGTTTGCACAAAATGTCATATATTGTTAAAGACTGAGATTTTAAGCTTCATTTATCCAAATAAAATGAATCTCGGGATAGTTGAGAAAAAGTTACAGCTGTTCAGAAATGAGTGAAAATAATAAAGAAATTCGCTATATTTTGAAATTTTTGTATAAAAATTTGGAAGAATGCCACGCAAGCCACCAATGAAATTTGTGAAGTTTACAATACACGATGCTGTATCAGTTCATGTAGCACAACAATGGTTCGCTCGCTTCCGTTCTGGAAATTCCGATGGCAAAAATCGTTGAAAATTTCCATGAAATAATGGCAATGAATGACCAGGACCGTCAAATAAGCTGGCATGACATCGCGAAAGAACTTAACATTTTTCGCATATTATCAAACGGTTTTGAACTATTTAAAAAGGCTGGCTACAAACAGAACCTCGATTTTTTGGTACCACATGGATTGTCTGTGAAAAATTTAATGAACCGAATTAACAACTGCGATTCCTTGCTGAAACGAAATGAAAACGAACCATTTCTGAAGCGAATGGTAAGAGGAGAGGAAAAGTAGATAAAATACGACAATAATATGCGAAAAATATCATGATCCAAGCGTGGTGAAGCGCAAAAAATGGTCGCAAAGCCAGGCCTAACACCTTGAAAGGTCATGCTGAGAGTTTGGTGGGATTGGAAAGGAGTCATTCACTATAAGCTGCTCCAGCCTGGTCGAACGATTGATTTTACATTTTACTGTCAACAACTGATGAGGTTAAAGCAAGCAATCGAAAAAACGGCCTGAACTGATTAAGATAAAGGGCTTCGTCTTTCCATCAGGACAACGCTAGAACACACACATCTTAGATGACTCGGCAAAAGCTGGCAGAGCTTGGCTGGGAAGTTTTGATGCATTCACCATATAGCTCTGACCTTGCACCATCGTACTACCATTTATTTCGATCAATGCAGAACTCCTTTAATGGAGTAAAGTTGGCTTCAAGAGAAGCCTGTGAAAATTACTTGTCGCAGTTTTTCGCCGAGAAACCAGATAAGTTTTACACTGATGGAATAATGTCTCTAGCGAAAAAGTGAGAAAAACTGGTCGACCAAAATGGCACATTGTGTGTCAGGTGTGCCATATCTACTGGTTTTGGGATCACAAAGGACCAGTGCTCACAGCGATCCTGCGTTGTACATATATATTTGATGTAATTTAACTTAACGTAAGTCTTAAAAAAGCGGCTTTTTATTTCGATAGTAAGTAATTTCTTGAACGAAGTCTCTTCAAACTAGAGCTGGTCAACAATTAACGTTGTCATTTTTTTTAACGCTTAAGAGCTTTTGCGAGCTTTCTAAGCTTCGTCGGCGCAACTTTTGTGTGAGTAAAGTGCGCAAAGCTGCCCAAAAACGTGAATAATAGCAGAATTTCGTGTGAAATAAATGTGCTTAACGCAAGCCAAGTATTTAAAATAATATTACCGGCTAGTTAGATGATCTCATACACCACAAAAGCTTTATACTAAACGCACAATTAGATAATCAATTGAACGAAGTGAAGAACAGCAAAAGTATTAAACCAGTTGCGGCCGGTATTTCGGCATAAAACTAAAAAAACACGTGTTGTTTGTGAAACGAAAAAATTTTCTAAAGCAAAGTTACTGCAAATACAACAAATATGTATGTGTGTATGTCTGTAAAAATATAGCGGCTGGCGCGTGTAATAGCGAACTAATGTAATATGGAATTGTAAGCCGCTAAGCTTTCACGCTTATCTTTATGAGTGGTTCGAGGTATAGTTGGAGGCATACAAGTTACAAGTGGGCATACATGACTGTATATACAGATGTAGCTATGTATATGTATGTAAATAGTAGTGAAGCAAGGCAGTTGTGTGTGGTGTGGCGCTTAGCGTTTTTCGCCGTCGTCAAATTCGTTTGCGTCGATTTTCACGCTTTTTACCTTTGTTTATCTCCTCAACAGTATAATGTATGTATGTATGTATGCAAGTTGCTGGCATGCATTTCGCATCAATTTCGCGGCTGCTCAAATTTACCATACATACATACTTATATATATATATACAAACACATGCATGTCGCTTGTAACGATGACGCAACTGGTGCGCTTTTTGTTGTCAATCGCACAGTTGTGCAGCGCTGGCGCGTTATTTTGTGGATTTTCGGATTTACAACAACAAAATGGCCACACACATATATACATATATTAATATAGAGGTAGATATACATGTATTTGCTTGTTAAAATGAATTGAAAACGACAAACGCGCGTGGCGTTGGCTGACCTTGGTACGCTTTTTTTTTTTGTAAATGTATGTAATTATGGAAGCAAAAACAACAACAACCACAAAAACACAACAAAAGGAAAACCTAAAAACAAATTTCAATTTTACATACAAAGAAAAGAAACGCGCCGCAGCCAAGCAGCCAACAACACAAAGGCGCGCCACTAACTTTCTTTCGACTTTGACTGGCCGATTGGACGGTCGGCGGGCTGCCTGGCTGACTAACTGACTCTACAGCACCGCGCAACCGCTTGCGCCTTGTACGCTACAGCGCGGCACCGTTTAGCTCCGCAGTACGCTCGTTTACGCATGCGTGCATGAAACGAGCGCGCTTAGCTGGTACGCGCGTTTAAGCGACTACGAATTAAATACAAATTATACGAAATTCGTCTATGCACAAATACATACTTACATACGTATATAAATACAATCGACATGACTATGTGTAACAGCGCACGACTGGCTTTTTGGAAAACTATCGTTTGTACACAACAAAACGCTTGCGGCTGCACGCTTAGCAACAGCCACACCGCAATCACAACCAACCGCAGCGTTGGTGATGCGACGCTGTATGACATGGCCGCCTAATTACGGCGCGTTGATTTTTTTCTTCAAGTTGATAAAAGATTGCTTAAATTGGTTGAAGTTTTCCCACCATACATACACAACTTTGCATACTTAAATTAGTTTATTAGTTTTCGAAATGAGACTTGTGCG